TCATTTATATATAGGTATAAAAAATGTGCTCAGAATTTAATTATTTTGCTAAACATTCATAAGTTTTAATTAAATTTTTATTTCAGTCGAAAAATCTGTTGAATCAATCATTTATAAAATGTTTTAATAATATAGTAGTAGTTTACTGATTGACTGTTTTCAGTATATACTGTATATTATACAGTATATATGACATAAGCGTCAAAAATGCTATCAATAAAAAGGTTATGTTATGTCGATATATCATTAGTTTTTGGTAGTAAAAGAAGTGGTCAACCATTAGAAAAGTGTTGAACACACAGCTTGTGATCAATGAATTGTTGCTCACAAATGCCTAATACATATGACATCCCATTGAGCTATGCTTTAATGAACTCATATATATAGTACTGTATTGTATATTACATACAGTTTAAGCCGATCTGACATTGGTTGCAGTGGCCGGTCGTGCCATTGGGTTATACCCATTAAATTGTGTATAGAATATTTATAGCTAAATATTTTGATGACAAATCAAGTATATGATGGCATTCATTGGTGTCGGGATGTCATGACAATTGTATGTTAAGATTGATTGTTATGCTTAAAATTCAATCTCAAGCCATATGTATATATAGACAGACTTTCCAAAAAATTATTGATATCTATAAAGGCATACAACAAGCTATAGCCAGAAGCAATTAAGGCATACCTAATGGATGTACGATATAAAAGATATGTAAGAGAGAAGTGTATAGTGTAGTGAAAGTATAAAAAATTGATAACAAAAATAGATGTAAAAGTGTATACTATATGTCATATGAAGTGCTGATTTTAGCACTACATCTAAGGTCTGATTGCGTGTTGAAACCTGAATACACCCCGACTTTGATTGCAATCCACACCCAATCAAACACAACATCATTGAAGAAAACGGTCTACACTTTGACTACAAATTGCTTTTTTGTTTGATTCTCTCTCTAATATAAGTTAAAAAAAAGAAATTTTGTTTTGTATCCAAAATGATGTTTAATTATATTTTGGGAATTAATTTTATAATCCATTAATCATAAGTGAAAAACACTGATATTAGTTATGCATAATTCAAATGTTGGCTAAATATAATCATAATAATAAAACACTTAACTTTTGTTTGATTTGGGGATCACTTTCACTATAATTTTGAATAATTTTTCTATTGCACAATAATAAATTTTTATTTAGCAATACTAATGATAACACCTAAAAATAATAGACACTAAAAATTGATAGAATAAGCAGTAAATGTTAAGTATTTTAATTATACGGTATATTGATTAAGTGATAAATGAGATAAATATATTGTATATAAATATTGATAATTTAAATTATTATTATTATTTTTTAATTCAACATCATTTTGTAATATTTATAATTCACTTTAATCAAATAATTTATCTTAAAATGTAACAATTGAGTTCAATTATTTTTTATAAACTATTTTTTAATGTACAAATTCATTAAAACTGTATTTTAATTTAAATTTAATTTAGAATATGAATTAATAAATAATAACAATAATAATAATAAAAATAATAAAATTATATCGATGTGTTAGCAATTGAATGTGTTATAAGTTATAACTAAACTTTACTTGATTTTGTATGACTACGTGAAGCAGTAATAACGATATCTAATATAACTATTTCATTGACTCCAATAATAATAATAATATAAATAATAATTTAGTTGAAGAACTTGTGTTTCTATAGTATATATATATATATATCAGAAATATAATGTATATAATCTAAGATAAACATTCGCTACTAATTTGTAATAACAGTATAATAAACTCAGAATAAATATATAACTAAAATATATATATATATATATATATATATATATATAATTAATATTTAAATGTAAAATTTGAATATTACAAGCTCATAATATAATATATTATCTAAAATAAAAATTTAGTTTAACATTTTATCTACAAAATATAATTATTGTTATAAACTACAGTAATATGAATGGTATCAATTTTTAACTTAATCAATAATATCCATAAAATCTATTCAAAAACTTCAATTTGATTAAATGTAAAAACTTTTATAATGATATCCATATTATGATCCAGAGATGAATAAAAATATAAAGTTAAACTCATTTATTACAATTATATGTATACTATATATAAATTATACTGTAAGTTATATATCACTATAAATGCCAAATATTAAAATATTTTTTAAACACATTTTCTCATTCAATCCAAAGTACTGTATAGTTGATTATGGATTTGATTTGAAAAGATTTTATACATTGAATTAATATTATTAAACTTGTAATAAATAACTTATATATTTCTATTTTAAAATTCTATATATTTTTTAATTTCGTTAAAAACTAATAACAAAAACATCTTTTTTCAATTAGCAAAAATATAAAAATATATTATTTATGCCGAAATATAAGCAAATCAGCATAATATTAATAAATACAGATTTATAACAAATTAATTTAAAAGAGACATTAAATGAGCTAAAATAAATTTTGTAATAACTTTAATAAGATTAATAAAAATAAGTTAAATATGCTTTTATACTATATATAAATTTTAATTTAAATATTTTAAAAATTACAAATTATAAAATAATGCTAACTAACAGCTGTCATCAAATTTTTATACATTACATTATACAATAGTAGGTACTGTATAATGTTTTCAATATTTGATAATATTTTTTATTTTTATAAATATTTATTTTTTTATTTTAGTTTATTCTTAAACTAATCATAATATTTTATAAATTAAACTATAATCTTTTATAAGAAAATTTAATAGAAACAAACATAAAACATATTATAAAGAAATAAAAACTTTAAATAATGATAAATTAATTTTAATTTACATTAATTAACATAAATTATTATTACTTAATATATTCAGGTTATATATATATATATTTATTTATTTATAACTTAACATTTTGTCTTCAGTTCTCTCTCTCTTTCTTTCTTTCTCTCGTCTCTGGTCTCATGAGATATTCCTCTTAAGACAAAATTTTTAGCCAATTTTAAAAAGTGATGAAAACTAAATCTAATTATAAATTATATACTAGAAAAAGATATGGATTTATAAAAATACAATTTTGAATAATAAATTCAATGCAATCCTATTTTTAGACCAAAATTAACAAAAATTATAATAACAATAAAAACAACTTACGGTAATATAAAAATATGAATCGGATTAGATTTTAAATATAAGTATATAATAAAATGTTTTTTTTTGTAAAGTAAATTTAAGAAAAAACTTTTAAAAACTAATATAAATTTATTCTAAATTAAAAATTATAAATCTTATGTGTAATTTAATAGTAAATTGGACAAAACTATATTGATTTTATTTCTAACAATTTTTATTAAAAAAAGTCTGTCATATGTGACTAATAATGAATTTTTATGTCCGAAATATCAGTTCCCATACAAGTGCTCATTGTATTTGGTTATATAATGTGTGTGGACGTGATCCTCGTGTTGACTAATATTTAGACTACAGAAACAATAAAACAAAACAAAAAATAAATTCATTTGGGAGACAACCTATCGATGTGTTATAATAATGTGTAATACAAATACCCCATACAATAGTCACTAAACCGAAAACATAAATATTTTTTTAAAAGGCGACAAAACAAACTAAAAACTTATTTTTCACTTTTTTATTACATAATATTATTGATAGTAAAGAGAAAGTGGATATATTAAGTAAAGTTATATATTTTCTGAGGGCCTGAAAATTGATGCTCAGGAGAGATATAAAAAATATTAACAACAACAACAACAACAACAACAAAATAAATCATACACTTAACACATTTACACAACTTTTATTCAAGTATTTTGTTTGTTATTTAGTTTTTGGCGATATTTCCAGAAATTTTGTTTTTAGAAAAATCTATTGTAATTCTTTGCCATTCAAAACCAAATATTAAGAGACAAACTAAATGTGAAGTAAACCACAGAATAACAACAAAATGTAATGTTATATCTAAACTGTTTCTTTAAATTTCACTTTATTTTTGTCTTTTCTTTTTGTAAAACATATATAAGACTTATTTTTTTATTTCTGTTATTTTCTTAGTTTTATTATTATATTACTGTTCAGCATATGTAACACATACTGTATATACAGTATATAAGGAATCTATCTATAGATTTTATGAAACATATACAGTATATATTATATATATATATATATATATATATTTCGTGATATGATTGATCTTTTGGAGTCAATTTTTAATAGAAAAATAAAATGAATTGCATTTTTGTTCAACAAAATCTGATACCATTATATTAATTCAAATGGTAGATATCTATACTACAATATAACTAATATAATAATAAAAAAAATTATAGTCCATAAATACACTACATATTGTTATTTTATGAACAATACAACCATTGAATAGAATTGCAAATTTGTTAACCTGTACTTAGGAAACCAATAAACTTATATAATATAATAATATTAATAATAATAATAATAATATACTATTATTAGTAAAATATCATATTATGTTTTATATTATGATGAAATATTGTGGCGATTATACGACATTAAAACATTTAATAAATATTATTATGACATTTGTTAAGTCAATAAAAATAAAATTTGTAGAATATTTTTGAGAAAATAAATTTTAATATTTGAGTAGAAAACAAATAATTTAATTTAAATTATGAGCAAATAGTCTCTTTAATGTGTAATTTAAAGTTAGCTTAAAGTTTTACAATATGTAAACTCTATTTAAATAATATTAAAAATATCTGTCATCGAAAACTTTTGTCAGCAAATAATTATGATTTAAATGGTATTTACATTTGCTTTAAAAGCAAATAATTGAATAAAATTTATTACTGAAATATTCTTTCAAAGAAATAAATTAAATAAACTGTTATTATTGAAAATTCCTAAATTCCGTATTTTTTAAAAATTAGTTATAAAAATATATGAAATTAATACATACCGTCTTCAATACAGCCAAACGATGGAAATAAAAGTAATACAATCAGTGGTTTGATTGATATCTTCATTATCAATGACTCAAATTAGTTATGACTTAATAGATATTGTCAGTTATAAAACCAACAATAAAATAGTTTTTTTATTAACAATAGAAAAAATCTAAACTATTATAAATAATTTGAAGACTAGTCTCCATATAATGACTTAAATTGTGTGACTTGTATTTTCAGCAAAATTTCAATCATAATTTATTTATATATATAATTGATTACAATTACAATCGCATAGTATATACCGGATATGAAAACACAATTATATACAAAGTTTGCAATTGATTTTCAAGTGATGCTTATGAGTGACTCTTGCATTGTGTGTCACTATTGAGAATCGCGTGTAAAGTGTTTGCAATTCTCATATCTCATGTGTAGTAATATATAGTATATTATAGTTAAACAAACATTCATTGAATGCAAACACAAGTGATATCTGGCGTTAACTTATAAATTGTATTCATTATTATATTTTTTTTCATTATGTTATATGATATCATATTATAACTACAGTATTGAATTTTAATGAAATGTAAAAATAAATGAAAATGAAAGAAATTGAATATAACATCATAATTATTAATTAATAAACACTACAAAATCTGTGTAAATCATATTTTACATAAAAATAACAATTTATTAGTTGATTGTATATATGAGTTAATGTTAATGTCTATAAAATGTTAATTATTTAATAATACAGATGCAAATAATTTTTAAAAACATTTATTCAATAAAATTTAGTAAAAGAATTATATTTTAAATCATTAAAGTAATACTTTTGCAATATTGTTATAATATTTTTTTTATCTAAAAACTATATAAAATATTTATTCATTTTGAAAATTAATTTTAATTTTGAAATATTTATCACTCTTTATATAAATTTCTATATAATATAAATAAAGTATAAGATATCGATTTTTTCATTCTATAATTTATATAAATTAAAGACAAATCTTAATCATAAACTAAATCTTAAATTTTAAACTTTTTTTATCAGTAATGATATGTTTGTCTAATTTTTTACATAAAACAGTAAACTATAAAATTATAGGTCAATGTTTGCTATAAATGTCAATAGAGTGCAGTACTCAATGCATTAAATTATATTATACTGTAATTTTTAAACATCGATACAATTTATTAATAATCATTTAAAAAAAATATTATAGCATATTGTACTAACAATGTAAGTACTAGGGTTGGAAAAATACAAAGTTTTTAATTTTGACTTTGAATATAATAGAATGTATTGCTTGTATTATATAATTTTGTTGAACTAATGCATACAATGTTTAAAAATTTATATAAAATATTTAATTATTAATAGAATATAATTATTAAAAAACTTATTATCGATATAATAAGCATAACATAATGTTTTCTAAGAATAAAAATAACATAAAATGAAAAAATATCAAATCTATTATAAATATTGTTATTATTTTTTGCTTGTTTTAGTTTTTGATATTAGGTGTCGCTATTTATAAAATGTATGACATATTTATTCAAGTATTATATGCTTTGCATTATACAAACATTTTGTCTTAGCCAACCCTACTAAGCACTTTATGTTTATAATTTAGTTAATCTTAATCATTAGTTTTAGTAAAAAATATATTTTTTATTTAATTTTTAAACTTAGTAAATAAAATAAATTAATTAGTAAATTAGTAAAATTATTAAAAACCCCGTTTTTATTTAGCTTTAACTTAAGATAATGGATTGTAATAAATATTATTTATTGATATATTTTGAAATATTTTTTAACTTTAAAAACTTTTATGTATACAAAATATAAAATTCTGTTTTTAGTTTAAAATATATTTATTATACAGTAGTATCAAGTTTTGACAGTTTTCATATTAATATTATTGTCATAAAATTGAAAACTTGACACATATTTCAATATGAGTTAAAATAATTATATGAAAAATACAAACATTTGACTATTTAATAAATCAAAATATGTTTTATTTAAATAGTATAGCATAACAAATGTATATTTTAAAAATTACACAAAACATTTTCTGTGAATATATTTTTGATTTCTTTTAAAGTAATAAACATAAATTTACTTAACACATCACATAATACTGTAAATTATAACTGTAATATATTTTATATAACTTATAAAAATGCAACAATTTAGTATAGCATATATTGTATATAAAAGTGGTATAAAAATTAAATTTAATATGGACACAAAAAAAATAATGCACAACATGTTTACAATATTTTACAATTTATACCAATATTTAACACTGTATTTTATAAAGTATATACTGTATAACAATACACATATAGTTAATGTGTTTGTAATATCTGGTCACTTATGTTCAATTGTGATTTGAGTCCATCTAAGTTTGTCTTTTAGATATTGATTTGATGTAATGTTAGTATATATATATATATATATATATATATATATATATACTGTATATACTGTTTATATACAGTATAGTGTATGACATACGAGACTACACCTCAAGCTATATTCAAGTCTATAACTAATATCACATTTTAATGGATCACAAGTTCTCACTGACATATCATTTGTCACTTTGGCTTAAAATAAGTTTTTGTCATTTTATTTGAAGATCTCTCACTTAGCTATTGTTGTTGTTGTGTCCGAATATTTTTCGGCAAAAATTTATTGTTATTATTATTTATAGTTATGTCTGTACCAAAAAAATATGGGAATACTGTACAGTAGATTATTATATAGAGACTTATTTTTATAATAACTAACGATTTACTAAATATGAAACTAGATTTACTAAAATTATAATTATTATTTCTACAAATAATTTATTGATTGGTAATTATTTTATAATCTAAAATTTTTTCTAGTTTTTTAAAATTAAATATTAAATAGAATTGTTTTATAAATAATAATTTTATACATCAAATTAGTTTAATAAATGATAAATTAATTATAATAAAATATTGTTATAAATATTTGTTTTTATACAGTTTTTTAAATTTTCATTTAGTTTTATTGTCTTATAATAGATTAATTAAAACTTGGTAAATTAAATATATACAGTATATATATAATTATTACAATCAATGCTTATTTTATCATAAATTTAACACAATTAACGAAATTATTATATCTATAATATTATAAAAGTTTTGTAATGAATCTAATGGCAAATATGATTGCTTTTATAAATGAAATGATGGGTTCTTATATAAGGAGTCGATTCAAGTGATGTACAATACTATTGATTATAAGTCAAACCATGTATTAAATGAACCAATATTTCAATTGGTGGTCTAATAATGATCTTATGAGGTCATCATATAATATGTTATGACTAAAAATGATGTTTTTGAGAACTTCTTATAAATAAAACTAATTGCAAAACAACTTTCTATCAATAATATGGTCTCAAAATTCAATTAATATTATAATCAATATTGAATTATTGTTAATAAAAAAATATATTATATATTGTGTATAATTTTAACAATATCTATATTATTATTGTATTAATAATTCCGTATAAATAGTATTGTATACTAAAAATTGATATTTTCGTATAAAATATAAAATTAAAAAAATCTTTTGATAATTATATTCCAGTATATATACAGTTTATTATTAGTATTGTTGTTAAAATGTAATAAAAATAAAAAGTATTTTTCTCGAAAAATTATTATATATTTTATAATTGATTGTTATTATGACATCATTGGGAGACCAGACTATACAGTATAGACTCTATACTACAGTATTGTATTGACAAATGAAAAGCAAATAATTTCACGCAATTATCGCATTAATTTGAATGTAAACGATAACAGAGACGCCGGACTATACATATTAATCATATAATATATAGGATATACAGTATAAAGTCAAGATCTATACCACAGATTATAGCAGTTATTATAGTAATAAATGAATAAATTATTTAGTTTTATTTATTTATTTAAATATATGCATAATATATATAATTTTATTTGCCATACAAACAAATTTAATTTTAATAATAATTTTTGATACAAAACTTTATACTAATACCACATAAATGCACATTAAATGTCAGATATTACACAATTAAGTGATAAATAAAAGTTGGGATTATTTTTTGCTGTTTGTCCAATGCTTTTGTTGATGTGTTTTTGTTTAGTGATATCAATGAAAGAGTTGATTCATTGACCACTGGTTTTGTTGTCGACATAAACATTGAAATGAATCAGTGATTCACTATCTTATATGTGCCGTAACTCTCATTAGTTTACTTTTTCTTTTGGGTTTTTATTTTGTTGTTGGTTTGAATTGAATGCCACAAAAAAACATAGTGTTTAGTTGAATAGAGAGAAAGAGGACTGTTATGTGTATAGAATTGTTGGGAATAGTAGTCTCAAATCAGATGATGAGTTGTGTCGACAATTGACTGATGCAATTGTGGTGTTTTATAGCAGTGCTCTCCGTTGTGCCTCTGGTTTGGACTATTAACAAACCAAATGTTTAGAGGGCTATCATTAATACTGCCAGTGCTTCGGCATTGCACTCGCTTTTTGATTAATGTTTGTGACGACAGTACTGTACTGATAGTCGATGGCACCGATCGGTGCAAAGTCTTCAATTGGGTTTGTTATATACAGCACTGGCAGCACAATAGCCCAAACAATAAGCAATGAAAAAGGGCATCAAAGTGCTGACAACCTAACAATCTTTGAGAGCATACCCGTAGTCTCGTGTGTTCACTATTTAATGAAAACTGTTTGGCAATCACTCCGGAACCCAACAAATTAAGGACTCACTCACTGACTACCAGTGCTAACAAAACTCTATCTAATCGTGTAATTCATTGATTTTTTGCAGCTTTTCTAACTTAAAATAATTTTGTGTATATTGCTGTATAACTTAAATTATATATACCTTATAGATATTAATATAAGATATACTGTTAGGTATACACAGTATACTTTAGTACAGTATATTTATATAGTCATTGATAACATTTTGTTTTATCTTTAATTTAAAAGTCTAAAAATAT